CATTTGAGAAAATATAATCCAGTCTTAACCATTAGCAGTTCACTACATTATGAGCACGTTGCTCACATAGTCCAGTGAAACTTAAAGTGCACAAATGTGGCAAACAATTTGATGCAAATGACTGCTGATTAGCAAAGTTCAGCTCACTATGTGGACATTTGTGGTGTTATATATATACATGCATATATAACACCACATAATGCATATATGCATTTTCTTTCAAATTAATTTAGTAGTGGACATCTGGTTTTGGTACAGTTATAAGGCATGTAAGGGCAGTGTTGTTTTGCTCTGGCTTGTGTTCTCTTGTGGTAAACTACAATGGGAAACGTTTTCCCATACCTCCAAGCACAATGAAAAACACTCTTCTGATATGATTAACTTAATTTAAATTTAGTAATTTCGTGTTTTAGTAAACAGAATATAAATATTTAACCACACTTATCTTAACCAGGCAGTAGTTAATATGCAATTTTGTATATTTCCGTGCTGCTGAGGCATCGTTTAACTGGATGAGAGATGCATGCATCAATGATAAAAATGCAAAATGCATGTGAAAAAAATCACAAAAGTCAGGTATCAGGTGGCATCTTACTGTGCTTCTAATTTCTCAAGTTTTCTCATTCATCATCCCTGCCAAGTCAACACACCAGATATTATTCTGCTGTTACAACCAAATTTCCCCTTGAGGGATAATTAAAGGATTATTCTATTCTATTTCCTCTGTTGTCTCACTTTTATGACGTCAGGTGACTGTTGACTCCTTTTTTTTGAGGGGTGACCTGCGTAAATGTGTATGTGTTACCTGTTCCTCTCAGTGATATCTGAAGTGAGTTTATATGATATCAGACCTCCTTCTCCTTTTTGTTTATCAGCCTGCCTGCATGTACAGCTGCAGACTCACAACACAACACGTTGAGTGAATCTGTTTGTGTGTGGCAAAGATAGTTATGTTTTCCACAAGCATTTCAGTCAATTACATTTTGGGCGTAAATAAAACCTTCTGCAGATGACAAAAAAGATCAGTACCCGATCATCTGTTTATGGATGGAGCATTTTTCACTAACGTGTTAGTATCTGTCACCAGGAAGAAGAAGAAGCATCACTAACACAGCTGTAAAAGCAGGAAGAACACAGTGTTTCTGTGGCTCCAACACAGTGAAGTGTCGTTCTCTAGTAAAACAATCACTTCAATTTCAGAAGTCAGAATGTAACAGGAGAATTTTAATTCCCACCAATCAATGATTAGCTGTTAACCAGGACCTTCAGGAATTTGAGAAAACACCTTTTTGGAAAATGGCAAAACTAGGCAGGTAACCTTAAAAGGTAAATACATATTCATTATAATCTGATATCTTCTGCTGCCGTGAATATGTGTACATGGTTTTCACTATGTTTACTTTTGACACAATCTACAATTAACTTCTTTCTAAGCTCATTTTCAGGTTGTAACATTAATTAGACTCTCAAAACAGTGTCTGTCTTCTCAAGCAACACACTCTTTAGTTTTAGTCATTTAAACGTTGTGGCATGCAGTATAGGTCTAATGTTAAACAGTTAAAAAAAAAAGTTGCATGCTACATATTGCAGCTGGCCCTGTGTATTTTAAAATAAAAGCAACTTTCATCTCTGATTAGAATACATAAGTCAAACTTTATTAAGATCATTACAGCTTTACATACCTATTCTGTGTAACTTCATTTCAGGTTTCCAGATGGTATCCAGTAGTTTGCGTCGCTCTTCCCCGGTCCAGACAATAATGCCCTCAGCGTCTTGCTTCAGTACAAGATGCTCTTCCTCCTGATTGATGCAGGGTTCCTCCTCTTCCTCTTTAATCTTCGGGTCCTCCTGGTCCACGCTGGAGTTCCTCTCTTGCTTATAGGCCTGCTGGTCATCCAAACCCTCATCTTCTTTACACTTCATGTTGTTGTTGGAAATCTTGACTAAACAAAGGAACAAAGTTCAGAATATAAAACGTTCAGGTAGCCGCTGCCAGCTTCGCCCTTTGAGTTTTGCTGGAGGCTCTACTTTAAAAGCTGTTTCACTTTATCCCATTTATATCTCTTTTATTTTATTTTTTTAAATTTATTTAACCAGGAAGATCCCATTGAGATTAAAAACCTCTTTTTCAAGGGAGACGTGGCCAAGATAGTCAGAGGCAGCTCTTTGTCATGATTTCTACATAAATACTCTCAGATTTGAAAACAGAAGCAGAGCAAACCAATGTGGAATCTGGTGCTGCCATGTGAAAGAAATCCAGCGGGTATACATATATATTAAAGCTTCAGTTATTTTAGACAATTATTTAAAAACAACAATGAACCTTAATATATTTCAAAGACATGAATTATACTCCCTACCAGAGTGGTCTAGTAGGGAGTTTAGTATTACTCAGGAATATTAGAGCAACTCCAGGTGAAACTTTGTGTACTCTAGTGGACCCAGAAGAGGAATCTTTTGAGAATTTCATGTCAGCATTTAAGGACTTTTTAAAACGTTGTAATGATACAATTGACTTTGCTCACTTACTTATGCTTGATTTTCCCTCTCGATAAGACTCTCAGTAATGTAGTAATGTAAAGTGAAAATGAGCATGAAAGCAGTTTGGATTACCTTTAAAATGAAATAACTGAAACCTTAAAACTGAAACCAGTCTCTCTCACACACTTCTCCCGCTTTCTCTTTTTCCACTCACTCCATTTTGAGATGCACAATATCATAAATCAACCTGATAGCCAAACAGGAAAAACATTTACTGTAAATTGGTCCTTTCACGGGCCGCAACCACCGAAATCAGCAAGAAAGAAAAAAAGACGCACTACCATAAAACCCTGGGTAGAAGCGCAAGAAAGAATTGTCGGCTGAATGCTCACTTAACCGCAGTCCTAAATCAGACCTCTGATTTCGGTGCTACTTCCCTGAGAGCACCACAGCCTTACACACCTGTCGTGTGTAATTTTATTTCAGCTTTCCAGCTGATATCCACCAGTCTGCGCTGACAGGTTTCGTGTCGTATCTCTGAGCAGATTTCTTCTATACCAACAGTTCGGCTCTCCAGGAAACTGTCGTTCTTGCTTCAAAACGTAAATATTTCGCTAGTAAACTAGCGAACAAAAGTTTGCAGTTAAACGAACATGTGAAGGTAACTTCCGCCTTGAGTAAGCGTAACCGTTACGTCACTTCCTTCTTCTTTTGAAGTGTCCGGTGTTGTGCCAAAAAGCTTTCCCTGTGTGTTTTTTATGTGTATCTTTGTGTATGTTGTTAAATAGACTTGGGTGAACAGGGTTTACAAAGGAAATATATATAAAATTTAAAAATTACCCATTTAGTATCTCTATAACTCTGATTTATTGTACTTACATTATAACCAATCCGGTTCTTTTTGTCCACTTAAAAAATGCTTACAGAACTATTGTTACATTTGTTGCAATTTCTCCTGTCCTCTTGGCCTGATTACTCTTTAAAAAGACATTTTAATGTCAACATTTTTTAACTGCATAAATAAAGGATATATAAAAGTCACTGCCAAAAACTGATTGCAGCTTCTACCTTGTTACAGGAATGTTGTTTGTGGCTCAAGCTGGCTTGATATCATTAATGAGGGATATATTTGACATGTGTTTCACACATTATAGACCAACAAGTTATTCATAGCAGTTTAAATATGAGCAATCAGGTTTTGGCAAAAATCAGTTTTTGGCAGACAATCACTTTTTTATTGT